CAAGAATAGAGAGGGGGTCTGAGATGATCGTCCGGACGGCGCTTGGCTGAGTAGATAAACCGCAGACAATAAACAGGCCACAGTAACTACCTGAATTTGGGTTTTACTTTAATTAATCTGCCAGGGTTAGTCTGAAGGGTTTTAGCACACCCTTCACCCAGCTCTCCCTTCGCCTGTGATCTTGGCTCCAGGAAACTTCTGAAACGCTAGGCGTAGAGGAGCGAGCCTGAAACGGAGGGGATGAAGGCCCACAGCTGGCGAGGGGGCACTCAGTCTGGGCCCCCTTGCTGTGATGGGACCTGCTTTGCCTGAAGCACCGAAGGTGAAGGGGGAAAGGGAAGGTCCCGGGCTCAGCCCCTGCTCTGCCACGACTGCTTGGATGCCCTTGGTCAAGTCCTTTGACGGCTGGGTGGCTTGAGCACGTTGAGAGGGTTGGATGAGACCCAGGTCCCATCCTAACAACACTCCCCTCATCCTACAAACGGACTCAACTCGCAGCCTCTCCAGCGGCTCTGCCTTTAGGCAGACCCTCATAAGCCAGAGTCTCCTGGGTGGGACCTTAAGCTCATTTTCCCTGCGGCCTTGGACACATGGGTTTGCTCAGTTTTAATTTCTCATTGCCTTTGTCCTTTTGGGGCCACGAATGTGCTCGGCAGCTCCCGGGGGGACTTCTGCGAGCAGCATGTCTGCAGACTCGACCTCTGCGTGTTCGGCCCTCGGCGCCGTGAACGCCTCGAGCCCGGCCTCCCCGGATGCCCCATTACTGCCGCCCCAGAGAGGGGGAAGCAGGAGATCCCCGTGGAGATCAACACCTTACCTCCGGGCCGCAGCGTCTTCGGACATGCATGCACTTCCGCTGGGTCTTTGCGTGCGAGCGTGGGCGCTCTGGAAGACGGGGCCGTATCCAGATACGGCGTGGGGGGAAGCCAGCGGACTTTTGCACGTGGCAGGACGGTCATGGTGGCGTTGGAGAGGACGAAGCAGAAAGTCTGCTGGAAAGGACCATCCTCCAGCCGGGCAAGAGGATGGACATCCGGCAGGGATGGGGCTCCCCAACTCCCACCTGGCCGGCCGACAGGAGGGAGCCAGGCTCCCCCAGCACCTCCAGCGCTTTCTGTCAGCCAGGATTAGGGAACGAGCCCGTGACTGGAACAAGAATATCCAGGTCACCTCTGACAATACCATGACATTGGCTTGGGGAAATCATTACCAGCCCTACCGGGGCATGTTTGCAGCAGATAACAGCACAAGGAAAGGGTTTAGTTCACAAATAATTCCCAGGGGCCGAAAGTTGGGAATTGGACGGCGCAGTTGGATTAGTCATTGAAATGCAAAGTGCTCTTTTTAAGCGGCTCTAATCCACCGGCACCCGGCGCAGAGCGGCAGAGCGAGACGTGGGCACCTGCGGCGAGAGGTGGTGCCCTCCGTCCCCGTTCCCCCAGGCTTCCCTTGCCGGGGATGGCCGGGACGTCTCCAGGGACAGGCCACCAGCCCTCGCCCCGCAGGCCACCAGCTCCCTTTTTCCCTTAATGGGGCGTAAGAGAGAAGGGGAAATCCATCGTTTCTGGCGGAGGAAGGCCCCAGCGAGCAACAGCGAGAAGGAAGGCAACAGCGAGCTGGGGCCGAAATACATCCCAGCAAGAGCAAGGACACCCGGCTGCGGCAGCGACGGGACCGCGGGAACCGGCGCGCTGCCTGGGGACAGGGAGGACGGCCACCCAGGTACCGAGGAAATCAAAGGCGGCTCCACAGGGGCAACCCAAAAAGCCCAGCGCGAGCCCAGCGGTCCACTCGATGGGGCAGGAACTGGCCACTTTGTGCAGAGAGGGCCGAGGGGGCCGATTGCTCGGACCTCAGGGAAACACCCTTGCAGCTGGCTGCTCCGTTGGGTTTTCCAGAGCCCGGTCCGTAGCTTTTCTCCATCTCGCTGCAAATTTCTCAGCTGCTTTCCAGTGGAGTTTGCGATTTTTTTGTTGTTTTCTTGCATGCAATCAGCACCACAGAATAGCAGCCAGAAAGGGAAAGAACCAGACACCAGCAGGAACGTGATGAGGAATCAGGGCGAGGGCAACAGCTTTGCTGGGAAACCTGCTGCCAGCTCACAAGGGCTGGAGAGAAGTGCCCCAGCCCGCCTGGGCAAGGACCATCCCCACCAGGGAGAGGAGGCAGGAGCATCTCCTTCACCCTCCTTTGTGCCAGCGCTAATATATATTGAGTTTATACTCTACCTGCATCCAACAGGGCTTAGTCCAGAGCCACGCACAGCTCTTGGGCATCCGTCGTTCACCCACCAGCGGGACGGGGGAGCCGAAAGGGGCTGGTCCCGGCGAGGCTAAACGGGGCGCCGC